TGGTTTATGACCTAGTATCTAGTGCTGTTTGTCCCTCCCCTCCCCCCCGCCCAAGTGAATTGTAAATACATTTTTGTAAAATCATTCTTTAGAGATTTTGATACCACAAAGTCTAAGTGCTGTCTGCAAACTATGGGTAAGTATATTGTTCTACACAAAATAGAAGTGACCATATGTTATAAATCACAAGGACTGCCAGTTTGGAAACACATGACACATCCTTATGCTTGGAAGTAACTGCACCTCCTTTCTTTGTATTGGCACATTTTAATATCATTATTATTGTACTCTCAGTAAAAGAACCAGTCCAAAGACATTGTAAATGAGTGATTTCTTATGAGGAATGCTTGAAGCCATTGGAATCTTATTGCATTCTTGAAAAACACAAAATGAGGCCATTTCTCTCACACATTGTTTATATTAGTTTTCAGAAATATTATCACAAATATTTTGCTTTACAATTTAAACTTCTAAACTAATATTTTCAAAAACAACAATAATTGACCTATGATTATGAATGTTGGTGTATTGTTGCCACCCCAGTTCCAGCCAGCCAGTCATTTTAAAGTACAATTTCTGTGTAATCTGAATATTTAACTTTTCTTCATGACTTGTTCAGAGACATTGGTTCAAGAATAAATGCATTTCCCCTGCATCAATTTCTGTATTTCAAATTAGTGTCAAGAGTCAGATTTTCATAACACAAATTTCAGCATTTTTAATGGATACAAGATAAACTGCTAGTGTGAAAAAGATAAATTCTATCATTGTACTAGTCTCAGTAAATTGCTAATGAATACTGCACACTGTAAATTTTAACGAAGTTCATCAAGTATGTTTGCATATCAGTTTCATATTTCTTATACCATTGAATGAATGATTAAGGCTATTTGTGGAGTAATACACTTAAGGAAATATACTAGTAACTTCTATGGGCTTTTGATCATGCCCTATACAGCAAGATATCTGTATTGTACAGTTAGTCTATAGAGCTTTCCAGCTTATCTATCTTTATTATATAATTCTGATTTAATACACTTATTTTATATAAACAAAGAACGTGTTTTGATGTGGAGTTTAATTAGCAGAGATGGTTACAAATCAAATGATTGGATTCAAAATTTCCCAAATATTAGGAAAATTGGGATCTGAGATTTGTAACATCTATCATGAACTATAGAACAAGCAATGTAAAAATGTCAAAAAGTATTTTAAAAGCATTTCTTGATTCTTCAAAAAGTTCCACCAATAATACCAGAATTCATTTTTTAAAATGCCATTTTGCCCTAATATATTTATTAATTTACTTGTTCTATAACCATTCATATCCACTGATAACTTAATTATCTTAAAATGTCATTTGTTATAATATGGTGGTGGTGGGGGGAGAGACTATTACCCTAGGGTTCCCTATATATCAGTCACATCCAGCATCAAGCTGATGCAGGTTAATTCTGCTAACATAACCTGGGATCTAAAAATAAATCTCTTCAGTTTCTCCTTCTTTCAAGAGCATCAGTAATAAATATTCTATACTCAGAACATAGATGATCATTTGCTGAAAATGTGAAGCAAGGCAGAAAAAAGTCCAGTTCAATTTTCCACAGCAGTACTACTAAGAGTAGTAAGTAAATAAATAATAATACTTAAAACTTACAGAGCACCTTTTTGTAATCAACACATGTTATAAACCTTAAGCTTCGATAATAGTTGGCTGTGGTTAAGTTTGCACTTGAGGCAGGAGTCTGGCATCCCTCTACCTTGATGAAAACTGAATTATTTGCCTGAAAATTTTGCACATATTATTTTGCCAGGGAAGGAGTCTAGTTTTATTTATTTATTTATGTATTTATTTGAGGGTAGCTAAGCAAATGCCTTAAGACATAAAAATTCAAAAATATGAAACCTGTTTGCATTTTTGAAAGTCTAACTTAAAAAAAAAAACACCATTGATCAAAATATTTCAAATTCGTTTTCTCTTCAGTGACAATTGTTTTATTCTCTTCAACTTTGACAACTTCTGAAAGTGTGATGGTTTAATTTTTGAGTTATTTGATACCATACTTCTGAGAAGTCCAGAACTGGAGTCTTTGAATTGTAATTTGCATAGCACTGTGTTCAACCTATCTGTAGTTACAAGCAGTGCACTTCTTAAAGTTGGTATTCACAATGGACAGCTAGCTATAAAAGATTTAAGATGTCTCTAGCCAAAGACTCCAAGAAGCTTTAAGAATTGTGACAGGGACCCTGTGGGTTTCAGTAACAGTTGCATGGATTCGTGGGGAGTTCATAAGACTTTCTCTCTTTCTCTCCCCTCCAGTTTTTATCAAATCCATCTACATTTAGTTTTTGTATATCATTATTTTATATATTAAGTTATAAGCTAAGATAATGGCCAGATAAAATCTTCATTAAGATAGAGTAGAAGAAAGACTTCAAGAAAAGTGACCTATTGTAAAGTTGTAAAGAATAGAAATGATTGAAAATCTGGAAGTTCAGAATTAAGATTTTACAAAGACTGTCAGTTCATATTCTCCTGTTATATCTCTGACTATCCTACATCTAGATTACAAACACCTTAAAGCCACACACTACACCTTTTTCTTCATTTTCCAGTATCTTACTTTTCCCATTTGTTTGGATCATAACAAACTCGGCATACTACCTGCCAAGTCAAATGCCTTTCTCCAATTTTCTCTGCCATCCCAGATTTCCAATATAGTCAAGAAGAAGTCATAATATTTTCACATCTTATCATCTACATAAAGCCTCAAAACCGCTTAAGTTTATAACGCCAATCCTCATCAAGGCTTCAGAAATTAACAATGCCAAATCTACTCTCATCCACTTTCTGAGTACAAAGACCACTACAACTATCTTATTCTCTTCCCTGATGTGGGATGACTTTCAAACATCCACACACAACCAAATCTCCACCATTGGCTACGTAATGGCTCCAGTTTACAGAATATCTCATTCTCCAAAATGAATTAGATCGAGCATTGCCTCAGAATGACAAAAATAAAATAGAAATATAAAAGGCAAAAATGAGAATTATAGTTAAGACAGATGTGATCTGATATTTGGATGGTGCATAGTGTGGTGGGGTACAGGGATGAGAAAATGTGGGTAACCTTAACTCTGAATTTCCATTTTTTTCTTAAGTTTTTTTTAAAATACAATCTACTTATAAATAATCTTACTCTATAATGCCTACATTAATACAATTATATAAAACAAATCAGATATCAAACACATCATAATGCTTGGCCAATCAAATACAAATATGCTGTCACCTTTATAACAAACTGAATTCAATATTCTTTCTAAAGGATCTGATACATCTATGCACACGCACACGCACCCCTCCCCACTGAAAGCTGCATGAGCAACTTGAAGTGTAAAATATTACAAGCCTCATTAATGTATTTGTTGGTACCCTGGATCAGTTTTTCTGGATAAAAGTTAGCAAGCTATTGTTATTGTTTTAATAAGTTCATCAAGAAATGATGTAGGGAGGGAATTCTCCTTCCCGCTCTGGAATCTTTGTGCTGCTTTATATTTTATATTGTGGCAGCAAAATGGGCTGTGAAATTCCTGGATCCAGCCGCCATAGGAATGGAGTAGAGACCACCTCTGCAAATCCGAGACTAGGGAATGTGTGTGGGGCACCACAATAGTGGATTCTGGGTGGCATTTCTGCCCACAGGCAACACAGCTTAGACTCCTCAAATATAGAGCTGCCTAAAATACACCCAGGGCTGTTTCAGTGCCCATAGTTGCCTGAAACCTCAGGGCAAGAAAAGATGATATAACACCACCTTAATCCCCCTCCCCTGGCTGGGAGGTTTGTGCTACACCTCTTAAAGACACAGCATAAAATCTCATGTTTCAATCTGAGTCTACAGGCTTCTTATCTTGAGACACGTCCAGGAGAATTAGAACCCATTGTTCCTGATAAAAATACTTTGTTTTATAATCACCAATCTCCAGATTCAGATACTCTTACCTCACACCACATAGTAAATTTACTCCTCCAGCAGTTGTGCATATGGAGATCAACACACACACACAATCACATACATTCACATGTAACATGCCTCCTGTGACTATATATGCATACAAAGTGTCTCTGAATTTATTTTATGTCATACAATTTCAAAAGTATTATTTTTTTCTGTCATAAATAGTAGTTGTGATCTCTTTGCTCCATAGCAAAATTTTGCTGGCTTATGAGGATTTGTTTTTGGAGGGGATGGGAAAGGAAAAACAACAATTATTAAATTCATCTGAAGTGAATACTGTATTAAATTAAACAGCCTTGTTATTACAGATAAAAAATCATGTTAAACAAAACAAAATGTCTATCGTCAAACATAGACAAGTTAATGGGGTCCAGGAAATTCAAGCAATATTAAACACCCCTTTTGGTAGACATTTCTTACTCTTTCGCATGAGCTATTTTAATTTCTTATTCTTATTTTATGCTTTTATGTATCTATTTTTTTGGGGGGGGGACATAAATGATGCACAGAGCTTAAACTTGATCATTTCAGCTCATTCTACATCTTGAGTCATACAGAACACATTTTCAGTGTAAAGACAATATTGCAGTTTTAGAAATACAAACATAATATTTGTTTCTTATGGTATGTGTGTTGAAGCTCACATTCAATAATCCTGCTAAGCCTGTCCTACATGCAAGACAAAACATTTAAAATAATAATTTAATAGGCACAGTTGAGTGGTTTGCTGAGCTTAAACCTGAAAGTACAAAAACATGATACTCCACTTTGGCTGAATGGTTCATATCACAACTCCTTGAAGAATTAATTCTATACACAGACATTTTATTTGAATGTATAGTACAAAATTGCAATTCTCATAGCTCAAACGGTGTTCAAGTCAATGGTAGAATTTAATAGGAGGAAAAAAATCTTTCATATGTTGGGTTACAACCTACCAGGTGCATCAAACTATAAGAAATATAAAGTGCCCACCTGTTTTAGGGTCAACAGAGAAGTATGGCTGTCCCTGAAGAATACTGTATACCACCCGGGCACTGTTCCCATAGGTAGGGTCATCTGCATCTGTAGCTGTCACCTGTAGAACAGAGGTACCTGTACATCCAGGAAAACAAGGTTTAGTTGATAAAAGTTCTAGATCTCCTGTCAAGCTTGTATATACAATTATTTTTAAATGCACTTCCACAATTTTGTATTTTTTTTCTTCAAAAACCCCTTCTTTCTAGCTAGAGAAGGGATCAAATTGCAGAATTGATTCTCCTTTCTTCCATCCTTCCATATTTTTAAGGTGTTATCACCTTAGTATCTAACTGCAAAAAAATTATGAGTGTTAAGATCTGGGGTTTTGTTTCAGCTCATTATGTAAAGATAGCAGCAATTTCAAAATTCGTATCCAGATCAAGATTTTGAACACACCAAAGTTATACATGTTGGGATAAGACCATTTACTGCAGAGACTAATCTTGAAAGACATATTCATTTTAAATCACACCCGTGGAGCTCCAGAAATCAATAAAAGGTGTAAAACAATTATAGTATAGAAATCAGAAGACTCCAAAGAACAAAAACTTAAACCTAAAACTGCTTTCTACAAAACTATCAATGGAATTTCAGAGACAGAATTCCAGCATTAACAGAAACATCTGGGAGCAGCCTTCTTGCTGTGGTTAACAGATATTTGTAAGAAATTACAAGTTGCAACTCCTACTATGTCATAAGGTGGAACAGGGTTATGAACTGCACTCTAGAGATATTAAACTGTGAGAATTGCTGTGTAGATAAAGTGCAGCAGAGAAGTTTGTGATGGCTCAGTTGCAATAAAGAAACTTTGAAATTTACTGTAATTTCTCCAGTAAATACTTGATTATGAATCTTTTTTGCTATGTCATTTGGACACTATTTTCAAGAAATCAGTTAGTGAAAGGAGGGTAAAGTTCTGGAGATTCATTCTTTGTCCTTCTCCTCCACATATCCTCAGACTTCCTATTGCCACACATAGATTTAGCCAGTATCAACGAGGAGCTCAAAGAATTATAATATTGGAATAGACCATTAGCTCATTTCTAGTGTTATCATACATCTGGCAGTGATATTTGAGGCCTATGGCTCTGATCTTACAGATACTTATGCACCATGAATTGAACTGTTTGAGGTCAATGGGACTCAGAGTCATAATCAAGTAAGCATGTGAGTCTTTGCAGGATCAGAACCTATAAATGCTTAAGGAAGCATCCATGCTATAGTGCAATGTTATATCCTGGACATAAAAGTTCCTTTCCACTTCCAAGCTGGTGATTAGCATATACCTTATAAGATTGAGAATTGCTATCCTATGTAGTTGTTAATTCTACTCATGTAAATAATTTGAATACATGGGAAAGAGTGAAATTTGAGAATATCTTGTTTAATTTGAAAAGTTAAATATAGCTCAAACAGCCGATAATGACCTATTTATTTTTATCCAAGTTTTAATAACCTATATAGAAATGTAACAGATACACTGGCATGCAATCATTTTAGCTTCAAGATAACTGAATTATTTTTGAAGTACAATAAACTGAAAAGAGAAATACAATGTTATTTCCTTAAACTGTTATTGAAATCCATATGGCCATTTTTACTGTGATGCCCATACTTAATGTCCATGTACAAGTTTCAGCAAATCATGACAGGTAACTTCAACTAACAGCAAATGCCCCCTCCTCTGTTTTACAACTTGCTTAACTACCTGAAAAATGAACTTCCACCCTCTTCAGCAATAATATAAACATCAACATGAAAAAGCCATATCTTCTCTGTACCCTAGTATAGTCTAAAATCTCTGCTGACTACAGACTTTCCATATTAATTTACTTATACTTTTTATTAATGGATATATTATTTTATCCTGTAGTATTATTTTATTTCATTTGGGCCACCGTCAATGCCAGGACACAGGAACAAAGTGATTTTATTCATTTCAGTGTATATACTAACCACCTCCCCACCTAGGCAGCTTCTATAGATATTTAAAACATGGTAAAAACTGCAATCTCTTCCTACCCTCAAAAACAGTAATTACCAGCAACTGCCTACCCTGTCAAAACATATTAGCCCTGACACCTTCTCTAAAGCTTGGAAAACATATGAGCTTTGAAGAAGTCTCTGCACATCAACGGATATAGGCTTTTTCAGAAGGCATAGGAGGAGTAAGGTCCAAAGCTGATGTTATTTCATTGCAACACCTTTCTAACAGTCCCTCTCTCTTTTAAACAGAGGAGTATACAAGTTGAGTGCCTCTGCTGATCACTGCTATGAGGATCTAAAACAGGGAGAGAGAATGGAGGTCTCATGTAAGCATATTCCAGGCCATTTAAGAGTTTACAGAGTACAACTAACATCTTAAACTGCACTTTTGGGATAGTCCAGTACTCCAGTACCTTTTTTCCTAAAAGCAGGAAGGCATCTGGAGGACTGGAAGTTTGATCCTGTAAGATGCCAAACACTCTTTCCCAATCCAGCAAAACACTTAAGCATGTGCTTAAGTTTACAGACATGAATAGTCCCAGGGACTCTGTGAGTGGAAGGTGGAGGCCTGGGAATAGGTGGGGTTGAAGAGTAAAGAATAGTAAGTGGCCAGTATGGCTCCATCAAGAGCTCTTTAATGACCTGAAAATCAAAAAGGTATCCTACAAAGCATAGAAACATGGGCAAATTTCTAAGGGTGAGTGAAAGACAATAGGAAAAAATTCTATAAAAAGCATTTGGAGTAACTGAATGAGGAAGGAAAATGTAGGACCAAGGAGGAAAGGAGAGCTGATAATGGACAACACCAAGAAGGTTGAGGTGTTTAAACCCATTTTGCTTCAGTCCTCACTAAAAAGATAAATAGTGAACAGATACTTAACACAATATTAATAACAAAGAAGAAAGAGAACAAGCCAGAACAGGGAAAGAACAGGTTACAATGTAATTAGATGTATTCAAGTCAGCAAAGTGTGAGTGTGATGAAATTCACTCTAGGGTGCTTAAGAAACTAGTAAAAGCAACCTCAGAACAATTAGTAATTATCTTTGAAAACTCATGGAGAATGGGTGAGGTCCCAGAGGACTGGAGAAAGGCAAACATAGCACCTATCATTTAAGAAAGGAACTAAGAGGACCTGGGGAATTACAGACCACTCAGCCAAAGTTCCATACCTGGAAAGATATTGGAACAAATTATTAAACAGCCATTATGTAAACACATTGAAGAGAAAATGTTTATGAGTAATAGCCAACACAGATTTGCCAAGAAGAAATCATGCCAAACCAACATAGTTTCCTCATTTGACAGAATTACTGGCACAGTGGATGGGGAGGGATGGACTGAGAAGGGATATATCTTCATTTTAGTAAGGCTTTTGAAATAGTCTCACATGATATTCTCACAAGCAAACTACGGAAATCTGTTTTAGATTAAATTACTATAAGGTAGGTGCAAAACTGGTTGAAAGACTGTACTCAAAGAATAGTTATCAATGGTTTTCTATCCAACTGGGGGGGCATATCTAGTGGGATACATCAGGAATCTATCCTGGGCCTGGTACTATTTACTGTTTTCACTAATGACTTAGATGATTGAGTGGAGAGTATGCTTATGAAATTTGGAGATGACACCAAGCTAGGAGAGGCTAAAAGCACTCTGAAGGACAGGATTCAAATTCAAAACAACTTTGGAAAAATTGGAGAATTTGTCTCAAATCAACAAGATAAAATTCAATAAAGACAAGGACAAAATACTACACTTGGGAAGGAAAAATCAAATGAAAAATACAAAATGAGGAATAACTGGCTAAGTGGTAGCACTGGTGAAAAGGATCTGGAGGTTACAGTGGATAACAAACTGAGTATAAGTCAACAACATGATGCAGTTGTGGAAAAAAAGGCTAATATGATTCTGGGGTGTTTTAACAGGAGGGTCACATGTAAGACATAGGAGGTTAAAAAACTGGGTCTGTTTAGTCTTGAGACTAAGACGACTGAGGAGGTACCTGATAACAGTCTTCAAATATGTTAAGGGTTGTTATAAAGAGGGCCGTGATCAGTTGTTCTCCATGTTTGCTGAAGGTTGGACAAGTAGTAATGGACTTAATCTGCAGGAAGGGAGATTTATGTTAGATATTAGGGGGGGAAATTCTAACTATAAGGTTAGTTAAGCACTGGAATAGATTTCCAAGGAACATGGTGGATTCCCTATCCTTGGAGGTTTTAAAGAAAAATAGGTTAGATAAACAACTGTCAGAAATGCTGTAGGTATACTTTGTCCTGCCTCTGTGCTGGAGGTGGACTAGATGACCTCTTGAGATCCATCCCAGCCCTCCATTTCTACAATTCTTTGAGTTAACTAAAAAATGGCTTTTTTGTATTTAAGAAAAACAACAAAACTGAGAAAAAATTAACAAATGAAAAAAGTTCTTTCATTTTCAGAGAACGTTAAAATTGGTGAAGCAAGGCCTATTTAGCATTGCAGAGTTGACATCAAGCACGAAACATGTCGGCCCCAAAGAGTCCTTTTTTGGAAATTAATACACTGATAAAAGATTCATAGATGAAGTATTATGATGATTCTATACCAAGAAGACATCATAGTTTAAAATAATCTGGGCATTTTTATTATTTATTCATAAAGAGCAATAAATATGCATTCATGCTTAATTATTTATTTATGGTTTAATTTTTATTTGTTGTTAAAAAGGAACAAAAAATGAAAAATAAAGACTTTTTAGAATGCATACTCAGGACCTTTTATCAAATTACACAGTTGGAATCCAAGTGTTATGGCCTTGCTGCAGAAATTACTGTTTTCTTGTGCAGAATGAAATTCAAGTTGTATCTTGTTGGCTGTTGCTGTTTCACAATGCTTAAGAATTCCTTTGAGAATTCAGCCCAGTGCAGTTCATGCAGGCAGGCAGGAACTCCCAGCCTTCCAAAATCTTCACCTTATTTTCACTTCTTAAAGTTTTCATTCAACATTGATCCATCTGAGATTTTAACAATGCAGCAAACCACAGCATATCATGCATACCAATTTGCATTCTCAGCAGACATTTACTTTTTATTAAACTTCCTCATTAA